ATAATAAGCCTATAAAACATTAAAAAGACAATGTGATGCAAACATTAATAATAAATCCACATAATATAGTAATGTAGGCCTATATTCAGTACAATGAGTACAATTTTCCCTCCAATTAAAGATCCCTCCAATTAAAGACCACCTCCAATTAAAGAAAATATTTCTGCGCCTCCGTTGGATGGTTATCTTTTATCATTAGCCCCTGCAATTAAATATTTCCTCTAATAAGAGACAATGGTTTTGGTAGCTCCACTACAAAATAAACAGTGATCTTAAATGCATTTTTGTTCTACAATAGATTGTGTTATATATGACTTACACGTAGATATATTAGCCAATGCACTGTTTTGTGTATAGCGTTTTGTATATTGAATGACGATAATGTTAGTGGCAATGTTAGTAATATTTTAATGGAAAGACAAGTTAATGTGTGGTTACCAAGAAATGCTAAGAATAAATAAAAGCATGCAGTTACTGTACAACCATTTTAAAACATTTAATGTATTATTTTTTAATTTCCATCTAAATAGAGAAATCTAAAGACCACATTTAGTACCCATAAGCTCCAAGTCTCCCGTGTAGAGTCTCGGAATGGAGTCTCCTGGAAACTGGCAGGAAGAACTCCCACGCGCACGGGCACGAATCTCCCGAAATAAACCATCTCCCGCAAATTCATGATGATATTTGCATGCTTTAACAAGTTTTTATACTGTAATATCAATTGTCTGCGCAGCAGTCTGTTAGGGCCAAAAATTATTGGCTATCACCATGCACAGCAACATTTAGATGTCATAAGAAAACTCATTTAAACAGATATCCCGGATGTGGATTCTTCCAAATTGGGACCCCTGTTGAGTGCCTTTTAATTTCTTTTTTCTTTTGTTGACCAAAAGTCATTTATTCACAAATATCATTACAGTATATCATTATAAAGTATTCATTAACACCCCTTAATAAATTTGTACAAAGACAAGTTGTTTCTTATTTTCATTTTTTTTAACTTGTTGACCAAATGTCATTAAATTACCACTATAATAATCACAATAGTAATAATAATAATAATAATAATCACAATCAATAATATTATTAATAATAATAATAGTAATAATTATAATAACAATAATAATAATAATAATAATAATAATAATAATAATAATAATAATAATAATCACATATAATACATCATAAAATGGATTTTATTATATATCAATTATTAAATTCTTAAATTTACAAGCTTTTTCTAATATAATTTTTTCCTGCAAGATTTTCTATATTTAAGCTCAGCATAAAAGATTGGTATGATAGGCTTTGATAGCTCAGTGATGTTTTCACGTAATATTAGCCATGTTTTATAAATTACAAAGGTTGCCAAGGTCATGCGTTCATTTACAGTATTGTATTTATCTTCTATATTGTGAATTTTAACACTTAACAATTGTATTCATATTTATATCTACTATAAATCCATTGTTTTTTAACACCCTTTATACTCGTTTACAATGTAGAAACATATGTATATAATCATCTATTAGACCACAAAGTGTGCATAACGGAGATCTAATTATTTTATATTGGTATAGTTTTTTATTCGATATAAGGATGACATGCAATAATTTGAAATTTAGTTGTTTGAGCCTTTTAATTCCTAATTATAAGTATTCTATTAGACACCAATAGACCACTATGGTTTTAGAAGACCAAACTGAAAATTTCTACTACTTTAAAATGTATAAAATTGGTTTTAGTCTTTTTACGCACTACAGACATCAAAATATACATCAATAGCCGACGTTTTGTGTATTTTTAATTGGTGGTATGGAGAGGGTGACCTGTAATAGGATTAAGAAAAAGTGGTCCGGCCAAAGCCGGTGCGGCCGCCGGTGCGGTTCCGAAGGCCCTGGTATCTGTGGATGGTGTAACAATTGAGAACCGATTCTGGCAGAGTAAAAGTCTGTGACAAAGAAACACTGAATGTACAATTACCATGTTAAATATCCTTATTGAGGTTTGGTACAGATCCATGGAAGAAAATAATAGGAATGGATGATTAGGAATGACTCCAGTAGGAATTTAGAGAAAAGATGCTTCTTCAATGCCAATGAAATTTGTACCATCACACTTTATTGTAACCAACTTTTTAAAAACAAATGTTACAGAAAAACAGAAAATTAACAATTGACATGTTATTTTGATTGCCAGTCAGTAATATTGTGATCTAAAAGCACATTTTGGGCTACTCACCGTGTAAATAGCTACAGAGATTCTTTTCGGGACCAGGACCAAGGCTCTAGTCCGCCACTTGGTTGATCTCCTGTCGGACGTGACGGACTCCTTGTCGACAAATTTCTGGAGCCACCGCTGCAGTGGTTACCAGAATATGAATTCTCGTCCTGGCCGTTTAGGAAAGTACTAGAAAGCAGCGCTAACTTTGGATTCATTTAAACTAAATGTAAAAACTCACATATTCCAATCCATCTAGTCTACTCTGTTTCCACGTTCATATTTACATTGTCGTTTTACGTTTCTATTTATTACCCCACTACTTTATTCGATCCGTGCTCTATGTATACTTTCGCGCCTTTGATCATTTATTTTTATTTATTATTATTATTATTATTATTATTATTATTATTATTATTATTAATATTATTATTATTATTATTAATATTATTATTATTATTATTAAATACCGTATGTTTGTTAGTGTGTCATTACATTTGATGAGAATGATGTTCTTTATGGTAGCACCATCTTGGATATTAGCAACAGCTAAGGAAAAGACTGACAGCCAATGTGATAGAATAATATAGTTTGTAAGAAGCACTTGTGTACACTCACCTCCAAATAGGTCATGCTAGAGCTCGTTCTTGTGACTATAAATTGTGATACAGCGTTTAGTATTCTTTGAAATTGACTGTGAATTTGGAGCAGGCAAACTGTAGAGGCGAATACAGTACACTTAACATCCAAAAATGATTTAGTTGTGCATTAAGACAGTTTTCATCACATACAGGTTGTGTGTAATAAACAAGTTTAAAGTTTGCATACCATATGGAAGTATCTTTATGGTAAATATGCTAGCAAATACGAGTTATGAGAAACCAAAAATATTAATACATTAACTATGTTTTTATATTTTTATATGATCAGATTATCGTTACTGCTATTTAACTATAAATGTCTTCCTAATTTGTATTTTTTAAAATTATCATTGACATAATCCCCCACCCCCACCCCTTTTCAAGTGATCAGCAACCTTTGAATCGTGTTTTGAATTAGTGTTTGACATTAGTCATTGTATACTCAAGACGCTCAGGTCAGCCTTCAAATTATCTTCTTTAAAAAATATAAAATGAAAACTTTTCTTCTTATGCTGCTATTGTTCAGTAGATGTCTATTACTGTCCCACTGTTCTCCTACTGGGCCCAGTTAAGTCCCGTTATGAGAGTTTTGAAATGGAATTTAGTCATGAGAAAAAAAATCATGTTGTCACAGGAATTGGGCCCATGACCCTTGGATTGAAAGGCAAGCAGTTTAACCACCAAGCCATTCAACTCCACTCAGACCAAATGTAATTCATTTCCACATCAAATATTTTTATTGTTAACATTTTTCATCACATAGTCTGAGGCAAAAAGACATATTGAAATTAATAGAGAGGTTGGAAAAGAGAGAGAGAGAGAGAGAGAGAGAGAGAGAGAGGGAGAGAGAGAGAGAGGGGGGGGGGAAAGAGAGAGAGCAAGAGGAAATATTGAATTGTAATAAAATCAAAGAGTTTTAAGTATTATAGAGTGCAAAACCCCAATTTGGTTCTTAAAAATTAAAGCTTTCTTTATCTTATTTTGCCTTGAAATAGCAATTCCAAAATTAGTATGTCTATATTGTTCCAATAGGAATACTGTATTGTTGTAAACATTTAAATGGCAACTCCCATCAATTTCTGATAATAATAGATTTATAATCAATAATAAACTTTCATATACAATTCCACAGTAACATAAAGCTGATGCTTCAGTCCTGAAACGGTTGCTTTCTTGCACGATGGTCACTTATTTTACGCAAATGGCCAACTGCTTATTAACATTTCACATTGTGCTCTATCATTCTTAAAATAATTTATTGTAAAATTGCACTTTTTTTTTTGTAAAGTAATGAAATGAATTTAATGATAGTAGTATTTATATTTCTGAATTCATATTATTTCTAGAATTAAGTTGATAGATTTATTTTATGATTCAAAGTTCAAACTTTGTTGAAATTTTGTATTTAAAAAATAAATAAATTTTCTATGAACGGTTATGCGAATTTACCAAAGCATTTTAAAATTAAGAATTAGAAACTGGTTTACATTGTCAAAAGATGTAATGCAAACAAATTATATCTTGAAAAAGTGTGATATAAGATGCTGTATTTAAATAAAATATTGATCTTAAAAGAATATTGTAATATAGATATATGTGTATGTATGTGTGTATGTTTATATCATTATATGTGTGTGTGTGTGCATGTATGTGTGTGTGTGTGTGTGCGTATATATGTGTGTATATGTATGTATATATATATATATATATATATAATTGCATATGATTGAATGTAACATCCATGTTCCGATCTGAATTTCACACAATGATTTCATTTCTATTTTATGTCATTAAAATAATAATTTTAATTTTTTGTATCAAAAATTTAAGTAAAGGTTAAAAAATATATATATATTTAAAAAGTATGATTAAGATACTGTATTTGAATTTAAATAAATGTATTTAAAATTATTTGTATATATATAATGTACATGATTAGCCTAGGTGATTGTATATGAGTTACAGGCAATTTATAAGTAATATAATTGACTTTGTGCTGCAAAATGATATCTATTATTTTGAACTATTCTGCGTATGTCATGCTCAAAGCCAAAAGTTGATGATGATGTATGTACAATGAACATGTGTATGTGTCATCAGTCTGTTCACATAGCCTGTTGATGACGTCGTCTTTTTTCTTTATGTAAAAATACAACATGCATTAAATGATATCCATAGTTTGGTGAGGTAATGCATGTACATGTATTGTAAGGTTTTGTGACGCCTATAAACAATTTATCAATTGGGATATTATATTTGCCATATTTGAAGCAAGTGATTGGTGACAAAGAAATAAACTCACGTGGACAGACCTGAATTATGTTTTTTGTTGAAATTAAGTTCTTGTTTTAAATGGTTACAAATCAATGTTCAAACTATTTAACATGGGTTTAGTAGCTTCAGTATTATCCAAACATTATTTTATTCTATTTTATTTACACACAGCAACAAGTAACTCGCCAAATACTGGATGGACGATGCTTTATAAGCCAAGTCGAGGGGGATAGAGCTTGGTGAGTACAATTGTTTATAGTTGTAAGCCATCATACAGCTCCACTTCATGGTTACAGTTAAACTAAGTTGTAAGCCATCATACAGCTCCACTAACATGGTTACAGTTTCTTGGCTCTATGGTTAAACTAAGCTTTCAGGCGCCAAAATAAAAAGTTGACAACAAACAAAATTACGGAAGAGGTAGGGTGATAGTACTCATGCAATAATTTTTCTATTCATTGATATTCTCTCGTATATTTTCTGGACAGGTGCCATCTTTACAAGGTAAATTCTTTCTCAATAATTAATTTGCTAAGAATATTGTGAAATTAAAAGCACTACAAATATGCACATTTTTAATAAGGTGTTGATTTAATCATTTGGCACGCAAGTATCCCCGTCCCTTTAATGGAGGTGTCCCTGTAGTGTTTGAAGTGATTTCACAGACTGTCCTCAAGAGAAGTTCTACTGTAATTCTGAATTACAGATAGTATTTACTATTTGCATTTCAATGAAGTTTACACAAAATACAGAACTAGGGACTACATTTGTTTCTGTTATTTTGCTTAATTATATTTTACTTACTGCAACTGCACATTTCCGACCAGTTGCCATTCTATATTTCTCTGTGATGCTAACATATTGTTACACAACCTCACATTTCCCCGATAGCGAAACGGAATTACCTTATTAAGCTCTTTTGTAAAATCTCTGAGTCTCAAACCTTCATAATTTTCAAAAACTTTCGGGAAGTGTGGAAGATTTTGTTGAATCATCAAATTAGATGTCTCAAGAAACAAAATGCGTAAGAAACGAATGAACAATGTAGTGTTGTCAAAGTAATCATTCAGTAAATAAATCGAATCTATACAAAGCCCTATGTCTGCTTGCATTGCATCGTATAAAACAAGTAATTCCAATGGATTTACTCGCTTCAAGTCTGCACTAGGGCACCAGTGTATCCAGTTTAGTGTCTCCGTAACAAGTACTGCGTGCTTGTTATTTTTACTCAAAAGGGGACGCATTGATGATAACAGTTTTTTGATGCCAGTATAATCTGAAGTATTCGATGTCATGATGCGGTCGAATTGAGCCTCAACATTAGGCTCGTTACAAAGGTTTATACAATTTTCAATGATAAGTTTCGAATAGATCATACCTTTCTGAAAACATGTCATAACAGATTTAATTATGCTAGCAATGTACGTATGAAATAAATCAACGATTGAATCAGTTTCTGATAAATTTTCAGCCTGGATGTAATCCCAGCCATTAAATGGTGTTAAGGTCTCTTCGATGCAGTAAACAAAGTTGCAAAACTTCGGTCTTTTTTGTATGTCTAGCTGGCCTAAATGAGGAGATGATAATTCTTCTGCTGTAGGTTTTGTCCTTCCAGTAAGGGTAGGGTTGTCATATTGTAGATTGTATTTTTTACAAACATCTTTTGGTAAAAACAATCCATTCTCAAAGTACTTTGTTGCAGATGTGCGATACTTTTGCGGAATCTTCTGAATGTAAACCGATGTAGCTTTTGCTAATCCAGGATTCCTACCAAACAAGCTGGATCTCTGAGCAGACAAATCAATTGAGTTCCGCTTACAAGTGTCACATTCCATTTCCCTCCACATTTTCCAAACTTCTTTCATCAGTTCCAAATCTACTTCTTTTAAGTCAAGGTAAAAGCTTGTCTTAACCTTCAGCGTTTCCACAGTGTGCTCTATAAGTTCACTGAGGGTTGAAGTAAGGAGGCAAAAATCTTCATCTGGGAGCAAAAGTGAATACCATATATTTGTAATGGACGTCTCGATAGATTTTCTAGAGCTAAGAGTTATCATCATGTACAGGAATAGTACATTTCTCGCTAGAACAAATGGATCTATGTCGTTCAGGGTAAACATGATGTTACCAGTGAAGTTGCTTGGAAGTGATGCTGTTGTAAGCAGGAGATTGCGCAAGTCTCCAGCCCCAGCGAATAAGATGTTGTAGTCTCTTGTAAGTTGAGAAGCAACATCTTCCGATGATGGATCAGCTTCATTTACGTTTAGTTTCAGTACATCGGTAGCTATGGTGTTTCCGAAATAACACGGAAAAGATTCATGTGATACGTTCTGGAATTTTTGCTTCCGCCGCTCTGCTGTCATTTTCACTAGTTTGCGAATTAGTTTGCATTCAGCTTTGTGAGATGGCCAATTTTGGCGTTGACATTCACGGCTACAATAGGAGATTTCTCTGCATGCAGAGCACTGGGAAATAAAGTGTCAGCACTATTACAGTAAATCTCAAATCAGTGTCAAAATCAAAGGGATTGATCTGCTATGTGCCCACCATATACACTATGTTTAAAAGCGCTTAGGCAAAATAATCGTTATGCATTATTTTAATTTTTTGGTGGCATGTCATCCTCAATCCATTTGATATTGACTTAAATCCTACCCTATTTTTCTTTCTCATTTTCAAAATTCCGCCAAAATGCGAATTCCTTTATTATTTATAATGCCTCCTATTTGGTCCTGTCTTTTTATATTCTTTGATGGACCTGTCATACTCAATTAGGAATTAGGCCTACATATCCCAGATTTAACCTCATATCTAAGATGATCGCTAAAATGCATATACTAAAATAGTTAGTGTTCAGATTGATGAAATCGATACTTTGAGAGAATGAAAATACAGTTTTTTTCTTGGATGAATCTAAACAATCGCTAAAATGATTATAAATACTATAATAATATTACAGTTGTAGTTTTAAAAACAATCTTCCCTCAATGAATGCTTACCAATAAGCAATTTATTTCTTTCTGACATCCGGCACACTTTGTATTTCTATTCCACATGTCACATTCTACTTTATGTCTGATCTTGTCACGATCCAGACAACGAGTTCCACAATACTCAGCAAAATTGCAACGAGTGCACCTCTTATTTGTTTCCTTTGTCTCACATCGCCAGCATCCTTGTACTACATCCATCTTAACCTGTTCACAATTTAGTAGTAAATTCTTTGGGATTAATATGCCAATATATAACCACAGATTATGCATTATGCATAATCTGTATAATTGTATAGCTGATAGGCCTATGATAGGCCTATCAGCTATACAATACAGTAGTACGTAAGCAGGTATTTTGGAATTTCCCAAGCGTAAATCAGGTTGACAATTAGCTACATCCTGTAAAATTATCTATACTTAATAGCTATACAATACAGCATAAGCAGATAAGCCTATTTTGGAATTTCCCAATTGTAAATTATGTTGACAATAGCCACATGTTGTCTCTGTTTACATAGTATTATTACACAGAATTTACATTATAAGTTACCTAGTTGGCGTTCCTTAGAAAAGGTATTAACGTCATTTCTAATACCTTACAGCAGGGTTGGGCATAAAAATCGGTCGGAGGGCCACCGAGGGCCGCACCGACTTTTATGGTTCCAGTGAGCTTACAAAAACCGCCAATCACTGCTTTGACACACTTTATTCTCAGTTTTAATGTTACTTTTTACATGTGATTGGTGTCGGACCGTAAAAAACAAGGTGTTTTTTAGCCAATGCTTTGCGGGCCGCACACATAGGATCTTAATCCGTTTTCGCAGGCCGCAAAAAAAAAAAAAAAAAAAAAAAAAAAAAAATCGAACTTTGCCCACCTGTGCTTTACAGCCTTACAATGATTAACAGAACCGATACGCCCTATTCACAATTTTGCTTACAGGTTATTCACTAGTGCTAAGAGTATGATACGTCAATGGTGTAAAAAATCCAAATACTCGATGTCACAGTCCTTGTAATTGTATTGTGAGCCTATAAGATAGACCCGACCTACCATAAAATTGGTAAGCGTAGGATTTCTGTTGTAAAAAAATAATCAGTTAGATTTGAATAATATCATTTTGGGCCTCTATTATTAGTGTGCATATTTAAGGCTTACAACTTAAATTGGGACCTAAACACGACATGATTGCTTTAAAGTCTCTCTCCCAAACCAATCCAGTATCATTGTTGGGAAAGCCTAAAAGATGCTAGGCCTATTTTCTAGGCCGATCCAACAAAGGCCCTTGTCGGCAGCAAAGAGGTTGAGCCTACAATTTTTTATATTATTATTCATAATGAGTTTATACCAATTATGAGGATATCAGGCCCGTCGGAAGCAACTTGAATTGGTCGGGCAAGATGAGACGATCCCCACCACTCCCCCTCCCCACCCCACTCTCATCTCAAATTGGCTGGTGGTGGGGGGATTCCGTTCCCCAAAATGAAAATCCCTCCTCTAATAAACTCTTACAGTGTATCGTATTCTTGCCGGTATTTTGCAAGAAAACATTACATTTAGCTACCCAATTTTAAGGGGCCCAGACAAGCAAGCTCTAGGTTTGACAGATCACACGGACTAATATATTATTAGCAATTTATAGAATTTGTGGTTTTACGCACGCATTATACATATCAAATTTATTAGGATGAAATTGATTGGTAATCCATTGGACACTTCAGGCCAATATTTACACTTCCTTATATTAAAAGGAAGTACACTAATTAAATATTAATATTTCTTATTCTCGCAGATGCATTGCAAATCACACATCAACATCCAGGTCCAATAACCACTGTCTCGCTACAAGGTCACATTCTGCTAGACGGGCAATTCCACCATTGAGTTTTCTCCTTGGGCACTCTTCCACGATGTGTTTGGCTGTCTGGTTACTAGCCTCACAATCACAAGCAGGTGTTGTCTTCATGTTCCACTTATGTAGCATGTGTGCTGTGCGACCATGGCCAGTAATCAGTCTGTGCAGTCTGCACCAACTCTTTCGAGGGAGGTTAAAGCCTGGTGGGATCTCTGTGGAAACCCGAAGGTCCTTGATAATGTTTTCTCCACTTTTCCATTCTGTGGTCCATTTCTGTTTGGCGATCTGTTCTGTAACGATCTTTCGACGTGCTTTGGTAGTAGGTGGTTCACCTGCCAATTATGGACGGCATGGGCGTCGATCAGTGGGGGACAGGGGGACGGGTCCCCCCACTTTTCAAAGTCGGAGGGACATCATATGTTCCCCCCCCCCCCATTTTTCCACCAATCTTCTATAATTAAATCCGCTTATAAAGGGAGTGGAAAGAATAACAATTACGCATGACTCATTAATTTTTTCTGTTCACTTTTCTAAGTGCGGTACGTATTTTCCGGACCAAAACCGAGTAAAAACGGAATTGTTTATACATTTTGTATCCATCTCAGAAACCACTAGATCGATTTTATGGGTGCAACGGTTATCAGAGGCTAAATTTATTGTGAAAACAATGTACTGAACATTGTTAAAATTCGAAGCGTGTATACATATTAGGCCAATATTTTTACAAACTCAAAGGTGCACAATTTCTACTAGAAACGATTTATTCCTTTTGTATATTATTATGACCTGTACGTTATGCTAGTGTTTAATATATTGAACCAAATCTTCTTCATGTTGTTAATAACCTTCATCTGCCTGATTTTAGATTTAAGATCCAATTTGCTAGAACCAATTGTTATAAATTTACTGTTTTTAATTATTTTCCTTATTTATGGAACGACCTATCTCCAAATATTAGGAAATGTGCAATTAATTCCACAAAATTTAAATATGTAATTAAGCAATATTTTTTAAAATTAAATCATTATAAATTAATTAAATTATATTTTTACCTAAACGAAATTGTAATTCTCTTTGTAATATTTTTTATTAACTTTTTATATTGAATTTGTATATATATATGAATTGTGAATTTTTAAGATTTTAATATTTGTCTTTTTTTTTCCTTGGAAAGCCTTTAGACAGTGATTAAGTTTGCTTTTAGATAATCCTCAGGTTTTTTGTTTTATGTAATTTGTTTTTCTTATCTATTGTACTGTATTGTCTTGCCTGGAAATAAATAAAATAGAATAAAATAAAATTACTGTTTTTCCTACATTCAAAAAAATAATAGTCAATTGAATTTTATATATCTATATTAAACAATAATTATACAGCCTTTGACACGGATATGTCTATCTATTTCGATTAAGTGATAGGCCTACCAAAAGTTTACTAACTCCAGTGTTACGTTGACGCAATCTCGCAATGACGTCATAGTAATCAGTGGCGGATTCAAGTGGGGCCGAGCCGACCCTAAATTTTTCAAAATTATTTTTAAAAAATTTTAAAAAAAACAAAACAAAGGTAAATTATAATAAGAATTTAGGTCTGAGAGTGCCATTTCCGGCAATCTAGAGGTGTCATAATCATAAATTTTCTTTCCTCAGCCGCAACCAATGTTGGGTTGAGGTGATCTACTTTCCAAATTGTGCAAGTCTCTCCCTGTCCCCCCTCTAATTTGCTTTCCTGGAGCCGCCACTGATAATGATAAATTAAGTAAATCACCTAATTTTTGTGAAATCAAAATGCTAACTAATGTTTTGTGTGCTCCCTCCCTAGTCCTGTTTGATCGTAAATTAGACGGTATTTTTTTCACTCACAATAGTTTAGTCGCAATATTACTTACACAAAAGTGAAATTTAAATAAAGGAGAAAAGCATAAACCTCTTGATTGATTTTAAAAGTACTGCACATGAAAAAGACTAAATTAATGACTGTTTTAAGTTTATCTTATTTGTTTTTTATGGTTCGAATTTTGAATAAGTTACAAGCTAATTAGTAGATAATAAATCATTATTTTTATGAAGGTTAGTTTGCACGAAATACATAAGCAGGCATAATTATGACTAAAAGGATAATTTTAAAAACTTTTTTATGATGAGTATTTCAGTGGCAGATTCAAAGGGCCCAGCCGGCCCACCATCCCTATTTTTTTTTTTCGAAATTAAAAGTGGAAAAAAAAATTAAAATTATATACAAATTCAGTCTGAGAATGCCATTTCCGACCAACTAGAGGTGCCATAATCATAAATATTTTTACCTAAGCCCAAACCATGGTAAGGCTAATGTGGTCTCTCCATCTGTTTAGCCCAGCCTTTTTTCATATTACTGGATCCGCCACTGGATATTTTGAAAATTTCGTATGCCAATAAATGTTAATTGCATTGCTTAAAATCAATTAAAAGGCTATGTGCGCCAGAGCTTCCGGGGGCTTCGCCCCCTGGTCCTCAACACAGGCTTGGGCCTACGGTCCAAGGCTCATTTTTTTCATTTCGTCCCCCCACTTTCAACCACGGATCGACGCCCTTGAAGGACGGGCCCTATGAGAAAAAGAGGACCGGGACGATAGGCGATTCAGTTGAGGCTCACTGGTTATGGATTTGTGTAGAGGATGTTTATTGTCGGTTGAGGCTCTCCAGGCTATCTTGGCAGTAAGTACTTCCCGGCGGATGTGGGTTGGAGTAATGTTTGATAAAACTGGTAGACTAGTGGTAGGAGTTGATATCAGAGTTCAACTTACCAACCTCATGGCGGCATTGTGCTCTACGTCCAACTTTGGTGTGTGACAACTTGCACTCCAAACTGGAGCACAATATTCTGCCGGAGCATATACCAAGGCGAGTGTCGATGTCCTTAAGGTTGGTGCATTTGCACCCCATTTAGTACCTGCCAATTTCCTTATAAGATTTACTCTGGCACCAACTTTTTTCTTCAGCTTCTCTAGATGGGTTCGAAAGGTTAGGCTTCTGTCCAGGGTCTGTCTCTTATACACATCTAGATGTGTATAAGAGACAGGGCCAATATTTTTACAAACTCAAAAGTGCACAATTTCTACTATAAACGATTTATTCCTTTTGTATATTATTATGACCC